ATTTGATTGTTAAAATCCCATATGTCTTAAACTTTCACCCTAAAAGCTTTAAAAACACTTCAGACCCTTTTAAAAACATTTTTCAAAAATAATATTAGTGACCATACACTTAGCGTAAATTTTCTTTCGTAGGTACAATAACCATTTTTAATTACGCATAGATCGATACAACCATTGAAAATACTGTATAAAATATGCCCAACAAGACATAAAATATAAAGTTTAAAACATTTTCTAAAAACAGGACTGTGATGATGTCTCCAGACTTAGCATAAGCCACTTTTAAGACTCCAGCCGCAGCTCCTAACAAAGAACAAAGCCCAAGCATTAGGCATGTTTTTGCGTTTGTTTTTTTACAATGAAGATGTAAAATTCTGCCAATTTTTACCATAAAAATGGACTGTTATATGTTTTAAGTCACTTAAATAACAGGAAAATAATACAAGAATATTTTAAATATGTTCTATCGAAAAAAAAATACGTGAATCGAGGGAGTTCTCAGCGAATAATTTGTACATATTTAACTGCAGTATGTCATGATTTAGACTTTTAAAAATCCATAATCGTGCTTTTTTCACAAGCAAAATAAGAGGTCTGATCAAAAAGTATCGGTACTTGTGTTATAAAAAGAAAACTATAGCACACATCAATTCCTTCGAAGTATTCCCCCTTCTAGAGCCACACACTTTATCCAGTGTCGTTTCCATTGATGAAAGAATTCCTGGAACTCCATTTCTGGAATAGCGAGCCTCGTCGAATTCCCTTAGATTTCCCCAACGTCTTGAAATCTTCATTTCAAGTGGTATTTGATTTTTGAAGCGGAAAAATTTGCTAGTGTGCGAGATCTGGGGGATATGCTTGACCTGGGGACTGTTGTACCTTGCCAAAAACTGTTGCACAAGCCATACAGACTGATGGAACCTCTGTGGTGTAGCGAGACAACCACATTCTACACACTTTCCTTCCAAGCACTGCTATAAACAAGGAAGGTGAGGAAGAACATTATAACTTAGTCGTGTATACAAGCAACTCCATTTTATGTACTATAGCTCCGTTACCATAGTAACAGTCACGAAACTTTTCATCAGGCCTCGTATTTTCAAGAATGATAAAACAATGTTAATGAGTGGTAGTAGTAATGGCCGAAAAGTTAGTGAAATTTAATAACTCGTTGACTAAAAAAATTGTTGTTATATTATTTTTTTTTCTCTTCTGGTTACACGCGCTACTCATTCTTGTTTTTGCTGCTGCTGGAAGTCTTCAAATGATATTATTTTGATTATTTGGTAAATCTCGACGTCTGTGATTTTCTAGCGCTAGTTTGATGAAAATTGTTTTTATAGGATTAATTCGTTTGATGCTCACTTTTAACCATTAATCCGAAATATGTGTTGTATGCAGATTACGGTTTAAATATTTCTGAATGAGTTGAATGTCATGTATGCATCCATATGAGAGTTAAGATCTGACGAGGCTATTTCAGAATATGACTCGAGTTTTCGGGTCAATATTTTGGTTGAACAGCATCTTATGGTGCTGCCCAGAAGTAACACACCGAATGCAACCTATACTGTGTTTAAACTTCTGATCTCCTTTATTAAATTTGTTAATATCTATCCCGACACCGAGGTGTTTAAAATGTTTAAAATTCAACACTTAAAAGGTATGATTGATTGGTTGATTGATTGATGCATTTTTGATTGATTTATTAATTGTTTGATTGATTGATTGATTGATTGTTTGATTTATTGATTGATTTTTGATTGATTGATTGTTTGATTGATTGATTTTTAATTGATTGATTTTGGATTTATTGATTGATTGTTTGATTGAATGAGTGTTTTATTGATTGATTGTTTGATTGATTGATTGTTTTATTGGTTGATTTTTGATTGATTTATTGATTAATTTTTATTGATTGATTGTTTGATTGATTGATTGATTGTCTGATTGATTGTTTGATTGATTGATTGATTTTTGATTGATTGATTGTTTGATTGATTGTTTGTTTGATTGGTTGATTTTTGATTGATTGATTGATTGATTGATTAATTTTTATTGATTGTTTGATTGATTGATTGATTGATTTTTGATTGATTGTTTGATTGATTGATTGATTTTTGATTGTTTAATTGATGTTTGATTGAGTCAGTGATTACTGACCAGGTACTGTAATTTTGTGTGTGCGGGTGGTGTAACAAATAATGGCTCGGAATTGCTAACTGGAAAGTCGAGTTCCAATTCCCGTTGGGTTCATTATATTCACCTACATGAAAAAACCCTTGGGAAAGATATCAATCCACCTCTTTTTCCCTAGCTATGGGTTAATTAGTAAGCCCGTATCATTAAAGTTTTATTATTTTTAAAAAAATCTTACAATCTGAAAAATTTATTTCTGACTTTAAATAACTTGCAATGGGTTGATAAGCCGTAGAAAACGAATTAATCAATTGAGTGAGTGATTTTGAGTGCTTTTTACGGCTCATCAACTTTTTGCAGGTTATTTAAAGCCAGAAAACTTAAAAAGTGATAATTAGAATTTTAATAAAACCAAAACATATGAGAATGGATTTATACATTTTCTTTATTTTTGAGAATTAACACCAAAAAAATTAAACATTATTTAATTATTAGATTGAATAAAATCTTGTTTTCATTGTTATTTATAAAGTGGTAAATAACGTAAATCGCATTGTAGTCGGTTTACATATTTTGATAATTTTGTAATTTTTTTATAGATTTTTGAATAAAAATATTTCTATTCAAATTTAATTCTTTATATAAATCTTTCTAAATGTTACATGATAAATATTGCATTGTACTTGGTTCATATATTTTTATAATCTTGTAAATAAACATTGTCGATGGAGTCAAACAAAAGTGTATACATTAATAGCGGTGTCAAGTGAATAACCTTCCTTTTGACACACCGTTGATTTTTTTTTGTGGGGACGAAGATTAAACATTGGAAGACATTGTTCACCAAATTCGTCGATTAAGAGAATATATCACAATTTTTATTAGGTATACAGAGCAAAGCGATGTATGGGATTACCTTACCTATCTGTCAGACAACATTTGCTAAAGACCGCTAGGTGGCGTTGCCGAAAGTGTTATATATATATATATATATATATATATATATATATATATATATATATATATATATATATATAAAGAGCAAAATCGCATCCTCTTTTTTTCTCTTTTAGCCAGTGGATGCTTTAGGTATAGGACGTGTCTTGAACGCAACTGTACACAGTATACAAATATAAAGGCCTATCTGATAATTCACCTAAACCAATAATAATAATAAAAAAAATTCGAAATTTAAGCCTTTCAATCTTTCCTAAAATCTTTGCTCAAATTTACGCACAGGAAAGAATATCTCTACACCCACATTCATCCCTTTTGTATTCTTTCCATTTTGTTTACCCAAACGATAAAATGTTCTATAATTGTTCCTACTCTCTTGTTTGAAGAAACTCCCATGCGTCAAGAATACTATCACTAATATCGCTATACATCCTATTACACAAATATATAGGTTTTAAAGACTCCAAGTTCTCCACATAGAATTGTCCCATAGAACAATAGCATTAAAGCGTTGCTTTATGAATTTGGTGAAACAGTGTTGTGGAAAAAGAGGACCGACCTTCTTTACACAAAACTGTTGAACATGGACTTTTCCAATGACAATGCAAACGGGACGCAAAAAGAGTCGAAACTTTGTCGCAAAAAGTGTCACACTAACTACGATATTTGCTGTAGTGATAAGAGAACAAGAGTGAATTGAACCAACTTTTCATGTAGAATTACAGAGTTAAAATGATAGAGTCTCACCTTTTTGTTATTTGGAAATTGTAAACTGAATAAATTGGCAGATATTTTTCTTTTGAAAAACGATTTTGTGAACACGTAATGTTAATTCATTCAAAGTAAGAAATGACGTTTTTGAAATTCAGAAATTCAGTTTTAGGATATAGTTTTCTACTAACCTAACATTGCAAAGAGAACTAACAACGCTACAATATTCAGTTGTAGGTTTTATTATTGCGTGTTCTGTTGCAAATGAAGAATAAATAACAACAGTAATAATAAATAGAAATATTGTCATATATTCCGAAGAAGTTTCATCAACACACTGTGGATTTATTAACTGATTAATTTTATTAAATAATCTTATGCAAAATTACAACAGAGAATTTATTTATTAGTCAATCTAGTTTAGTTTGGCTTGGTTTGGTTTGTTTTACAGCATATCAACCTCAATGGGTTATTTAATGCCAACAAGATTTTTTATACTGGTAATATTTTTTTTCAAAAATATATTGATCATAATATTTTTTTCAAAAGTGTATCGCTGGTAAATTTTTTTTTTTTTTCGAAATGTATTGCTGCTATTTTTTTTTTTTTTTAAAATGCTTGTAATATTTTTTTTTTTTTTTTTCAAAATGTATTTCTGGTATTTTTTTTTTCTCAATAATGTATTGCTGGTAATTTTTTTTTTCAAAATGTATTGCTGCTATTTTTTTTTTATTTTTTTTCAAAAATGCTTGTAATATTTTTTTTTTTTTCAAAATGTATTGCTGGTAATTTTTTTTTTCAAAACTTTTTTGCTGGTAATATATATATATATATATTTTTTTTTTTGTTCAAAATGTATTGCTAGTAAAAAAAAATTTTCAAAAATGTATTGCTGGTAAAAAATTTTTCCAACAATGTATTGCTTGTATTAAAACTTATTTTTATACTTTCACAGTGTTTTGATCCCTGACAAGTGCTACCACTCAGGGTCAGGGTGGACCTGGGAATACCAGCAATTAAGAGGTGGTTCCACGCTCCTCAAAATCTCCTGATCAAAGGCCTTGCTGTCGGATGTAGTTTATCGTCTTACCCAGGACGGGTCAATCTAGTAATGAAGGTAGGATTCTAAAATTCAAGTCGATATAAGTTTTTAATTTTTATTATAGATTTATTCTTCTAGCGTAATAAAAGGATTGCGACCATATCCCGTTGAAACACCAGTTCTTGTAAAATCACCAAAGTTAAGCAACGATGAACCTGGACAGTACCTAGATGGGTAAGCATTTGGAAATACTAGGTGCTGTAAGGTTGGGTGTGCTCGTTTCAGTTCTCGTTGTGTTCGTTATATTTACTTGGGAAAATTATGAATTCACTTATCACCCCCCCCCAGCTATGAATTAATTAGCAAAACGTGTATCAGCAAAACTCATTATTATCTCTTACTTTTCCTGAATTTTTTTCTCGTTTAAAATATCTGAAAATATTTTCTTGTTTAAAATAACATGCGACAGATTGATAAACCGTAAAAAATCAATCAATCTAGTATAATAAAGTGTTTATACTTATATCCGCCTAAATATTCAAGAAATCTGATTAAAGAAAAATATGCGTTCTCTGGCTCTTGGTTGGTATAGATGTTATTATCGACACAACGTTTCGATCAAATACCCTTTGGTCATCATCAGGTTCCGTTGTTTGGTTGATATGGGATATCTGTTGACTATTGTGTTATTTTATACCTGCGATGCCAGTTAGTGTTCATTCCTGCTGAACAGGTACTTCACTATCTGATCCATATAAAATTAACAAATCTATAACCCCCCAACATCCTATATCCACTATGCCACCATTCCGAATTACATTAGTGGTGCGTTGTTGGAGACAATATCAGATGGTTTTTGACATTCGGTTATGATGACGTCAAGGAATTTCATTTAAATCCCGATAGGTAACGTATAAAGCAGTATAAAAGAAAAGGACACACACACATACACATACACTTCCCTCTCTCTTCAACCAGAAGATGTCCTAGTGACAAGACGTGTCTCGTTTCCCCTCTGTAGGGTTTTTTTAGACTCAACCAAAGTGTGATACAACCATAATAATATCTACACACTAATCTATTACACACGCACACACACACATACACACACACACACATATATATATATGCATAAAAGTGAATATTGAAGTCAACACTTAGAGGCGACAGTCTGTTTCATGCTAGACGCAATCGTCAGGCCACGAGTGTTGATTTTTTTCTCGGCTATTTATATATACGGGTCAGTGGTGCATTGATTTTTATAGTCTAACTAATATTTTAGTATATTAGTTAGACTATAAAAATCAAACCAAAAATCGGACTAAAAACATAGCTATAACTGTTATATAGCGATAAAAAATACTACGTTACTTAAATATCGAAAACCAAAAAGAGTAAATAAAAATATACATTATAATAAATAAATAATAAAAAAAACAAGTAAAATAAATTAATCTAAATTAATCCAAATAAATAAACAAACCGATCTCGATAAATTAACCGTTAGAAAAAAAAGTAAAGATAATCAATCCAAATAAATAAATGAAGTAATAAACAAAATAAAATACTTCTCCTGCCAAAATAACAGTTAGAATAGACTACAGTAATCAACCCCAAAATTGAATAAATAGCTTTAATTATCTTCCCCCCACCGCATAAAAAAACTATTAAATAAGCGATATAAACAATTTTTTACTATGTTAATAAAACACCGATTAAAATAAAAATAAATAAATATATAATATAAGAAATAAAAATAAAAAAAACAAAATCAAGCAAAATAATTTAGCCCAAATAAATAAACGACTTCCGGCAAAATAACCGCCAAAATAGACTACCCACAATACATCACTGACCCGTATATATAAATAGCCGAGAAAAAAATAACACTCGTGTCCTGACGATTGCGTTTAGCATGAAACAGACTGTCGCCTCTAACTGTTGACTTCAATGTACACTTTTATATTTACACACGCTCTATCTCTGATATTGAGCACTTTATCCCATAATTATAGCACACCTTAAGAATGTATTTTTTTCATATATATATATACATATATATAACATGAAAATTATCCCAGTTTAACAAACGAGACAACGCCGCTACAAAGTGGTGACCCCTGTAAGAAACTAATAACATAAAACCCTACAACCATCCAGAATAGAATGTATGATACAAACTAAATTAAGGTATCATTAAATCGGTGCCTTCTGTTTATTCACATTGATTAGTTTTTGGGGTTTTTTTTTAAATGTCTAATATTGTGTATCGTATCTAAAAACAGAATTGTGTAAGAAATTTGGCAAAAGAAAAATATTTAGCGGAAAAACCCATACATAAATTGAAAAGAAATAAATTCCGGAAATGTTTAGACATTAAAAATCAAGTGCAAAATATTTGCAACCAAAAACAAGGACATTTCCGGACGAGAGTAGACATATGGTAACTTAAAATAGATAGATGAGAGAAAGAGAGAGAGAGAGACAGACAGACAGACAGAGAGAGAGAAAGAGAGAGGAGGAGATGAGAAAGGGAGAGAGGTCGGGGAGAGAAGGAGTAAGATTCGCTACTTCAATGTCATTATGATCCGAGAATACGAACGTTATGTATAAAATATATGAAATAATAATAATAAGTAGAAAAACGCGTGAAAAATTAGCGGTTTTCCAATTTTAATATTCTGATGAATCATAATTCTTAAGTTAATGATTGAATAAGCTCATGGCAAATCCTATGACAAAAAAATATCAATAGAAATTCCCCTATCACATCGTTAAATATTTGAGCTTAACAACTTTAACAAAATATTACAATGACAATCATAAAAATGAATGCTGAAACAGACGTTAAACATTTCCTTCTTTCTTTCTTTCTTTCCTTCTTTCTTTCTTTCTTTCTTTTTCTCACTAAAGCTAAGTAACGTCTCTGATATGTCTTTTCCGTCTTTCCATGCAATCAAAACGGAATAGTCCATTATTTATGAGGTATTAGCAAGAGACGTGGAACATTTCTTTCTTTCTTTCCTTCTTTCTCTCTTTCCTTCTTTCTTTCTTTCTCTTTTTCTCTCTTTCTTTCTTTCTTTCCTTCTTTCTTTCTTTCTTTCTTTCTTCTTTTTTTCTTTCACTGAAACTAAGTAACGTCTCTGATATGTCTTTTCCGTCTTTCCATGCAATCAAAACGGAATAGTCCATTATTTATGAGGTATTGGCAAGAGACGTGGAACATTTCTTTCTTTCTTTCTTTCCTTCTTTCTTTCTTTCTCTTTTTCTCTCTTTCTTTCTTTCTTTCCTTCTTTCTTTCTTTCTTTCTTTCTTTCATTCATTGAAACTAAGTAACGTCTCTGATATGTCTTTTTCGTATTTCCATGCAATCAAAACGGAATAGTCCATTATTTATGAGGTATTAGCAAGAGACGTGGAACATTTCTTTCTTTCTTTCCTTCTTTCTCTCTTTCCTTCTTTCTTTCTTTCTCTTTTTCTCTCTTTCTTTCTTTCTTTCTTTCATTCATTGAAACTAAGTAACCTCTCTGATATGTCTTTTCAGTCTTTCCATGCAATCAAAACGGAATAGTCCATTATTTATGAGGGATTACCAAGAGACGTGGAACATTTCTTTCCTTCTTTCGTTCTTTCTCTTTTTCTCTATTTCTTTCTTTCTTTCTTTCTTTCTTTCTTTCTTTCTTTCTTTCTTTCTTTCTTTCTTTCACTGAAACTAAGTAACGTCTCTGATATGTCTTTTCCGTATTTCCATGCAATCAAAACGGAATAGTCCATTATTTATGAGGTATTGTCAAGAGACGTGGAACATTTCTTTCTTTCCTTCTTTCTTTCTTTCCTTCCTTCCTTCTTTCTTTCTTTCTTTCTTCTTTTTTTCTTTCACTGAAACTAAGTAACGTCTCTGATATGTCTTTTCCGTCTTTCCATGCAATCAAAACGGAATAGTCCATTATTTATGAGGTATTGGCAAGAGACGTGGAACATTTCTTTCTTTCTTTCCTTCTTTCTTTCTTTCTCTTTTTCTCTTTCTTTCTTTCTTTCTTTCTTTCTTTCTTTCTTTCTTTCTTTCGTTCACTGAAACTAAGTAATGTCTCTGATATGTATTTTCCATTATTTATGAGGTATTGGCAAGAGACGTGGAACATTTCTTTCTTTCTTTCTTTCTTTCTTTCTTTATTTCACTGAAACTAAGTAACATATCTGATATGTATTTTCCGTATTTCCCTGCAATCAAAACGGAATATTCCATTATTTATGAATTATTGGCAGGAGGCATTAAACACTTCTTTCTTTCTTTCTTTTTCACTGAAACTATGTAGCGTCTCTGATGTATTTTCCGTCTTTCCACAAGATCAAAATATGGTCCATTCTTTATGAGGTATTGGCAGGGTGTAATGGTTTTGCGAAGAGACAAGCAGAATCATAATAAGATAATGCGATAATCAGTAAGTTAAATAATAGAAAAATATATTCGTAAAACGAATGACAAACAAGAATCCCTCTTGCAACACCCAAGAAAATAAAGTGAAAATTTGACGCGTAGAAAGAAAATACATTATCAAACTAAAAGGTCTAAGATAGAAAAGGCTTCACATCTGCAGCCTTGTGTCATACAAAGCGCTTAGATTACTAAATACCGATAGGAACAAGTAGAAAATCAATAAATGGTTGCAGTATGTAGAAATGCAGAACAACAAAATTAAAGAATTTACTGGTGCGAAAGTTTTGGTAAATCATTTGAAGACTTTCAGAACGTTGGCGTTAGGTTAAAGATTCAAAGAAAATATCTTGATATATATATATATATATATATATATATATATATATATATATATATATATATTGATGCGTTAGTTATTAATTATCAGCTAAATTTTATTTAGAATTGAATTTTAAAAAAATGTGGGAATCTAATATAGCAAATAGCCTTGAACGTATATAAATAGAATTAAAAAAAAATGTATATATATTGACGTCAACGGATGATTTAAAATAACCACAACAGAATCTTTAAGTATTCGCTTGTCATTTAGCAGCATCCGTTTTCGAGAATTAAAAATTAAAAAAAAAACAAAAAAACAAACGACAAACGAAATGATCTTGTTGTTGGCTTCAGGATTTAATAGCAAGGTGGTTTGATGTTGTGCGGGAATATAACATTTCTGATTTGAAGGGAATTAAAGAAAAGAAAACTTTTGAAAAAAGACATTGTTGAAATGACAATCATGGAAACGTTCTGTTTTTGTAGTATTTGATTACGATGTCTGACAAATTAGATTTGATTGTTCTGTGTGTATTGTAAAGTCCCATAACATTGCTACAGGCCCTAACTCTGTAACCGGTCTGTGTAGTGTTCATATTAGTTTCTTGCAGTTTCCTTCCTGCAAAGTGGCTGATTTTCCAGACTGGCTGATTGGCCCATTCTGTCATGTCGCGTTTTATATTCAGTGGGTGCCAATACCTTGCAACCTGATACGAAATGGTCAATTGTTTCTGGATGTTTATTACAGAATCTGCATTTCCGGTTAATACAATTTTTCAATATGTGTGCTTGGTAATTATTATTATTTTTATTTTCTTTGATTTCTGGCGTTTACACATTACATATGTTTTTTCAGTCTTTCCATGCAATCAAAACGGTATAGTCCATTATTTATGAGGTATTAACAAGAGACGTGGAACATTTCCTTCTTTCTTTCCTTCTTTCTTTCTTTCTTTCTTTCTTTCTTTCTTTCTTTCTTTCACTGAAACTAAGTAACGTCTCTGATATGTCTTTTCCATTATTTATGAGGTATTGGCAAGAGACGTGGAACATTTCTTTCTTTCTTTCTTTCCTTCTTTCTTTCCTTCTTTCTTTTTTTCTTTCACTGAAACTATAAACTATAAATTTATAAGTAACCGGGTCTGGGTGGTGTTCATACCAGTTTCTTTCAGTTTTCTTCCCGTAGAAGTTTCAGATTTTCCAGTGCAGATATTGGCCCACTCTGTCATGCCGGGTTTTATATTCATTATTATTATTATTATTATTTCAGCGGACCAGAGTCGAATTTTAAAAAAATAGATAAGGATCTGGATTTCGTCAAAGAACGGAATAAATTATAGATTATGAAACTGGCAGACCTGACAGTATTTATTAAAGCACTGAGATCTATGACGAAGAGCCTATTGAAGAGGTTGGGAGAACATGGAGATCAAAGGAAAAACTGAAATCATCCTGATAACGGAACGAGGGTATTTGCGCGTAAGGGAAGATAACGAACCTAACGGAAATTGAAACTCTGCTCGCTAATTAACAATTTTAAGCCACTATCCATTACACCACCTGCACATCCAACTTTACAACATCTAGCATTCTCAAACGGTCACCCATCTAAGCACTGACCAGACGTTGCTTAACTTCGATGATCATACGGGAACCGGTATTTCAACGTGATGTAACCGTAACAAAGCAAGAAATCAGATATCATTAAAATACGAAAAAGAGCAATTGTTATTGAATAAAGAATCTAAAAGCGAACAAGTTACAGAGACAATTAACTAAAAGAAGCTTAATGGTATTGTTTTAAAATAAAAAAGAAAGGAAAGCGAGTGAAAAGCTATGAAACAAAAGAGATTTTGTAAAATAATAGCTTTATGTTTTTTCCGGCACTGGCCAAAAAGGTCAGTTTTCTGTTGCTGAGTATTTAAATAGAACCGATAGGGTCAATAGGACACTTGTCAAGGATGACCTTGCGTGCAGCGAAAATTGACCCCAAATCATGGTCGTCATATCCGTATACATACTATACACGTGTACAAAACATTAACAAATTATTAGGTCCATATAATAGCTACTGACATATATGCTTACTCCTCTCTCTCTCTCTCTCTCCCTCTCTCTCTCTCCATATATATAAAAACACATGTATACATCAAGTGCTCTAGACCAGCTGCAATCTTTAACTGAGCGCCGTACTCTCTCTCTCTCTCTCTCTCTCTCTATATATATATATATATATATATATATATATATATATATATATATATATATATATATATATATAGTGGGTATATGTATCTGACTAGGCGTGCCAACGGCTTTGAAATCGAACGTCTTATCAAATAAACTTTTCCTCCTGACAGAAATCGAACCTGTATTTCTTTTAAAATCTGGAAAATATCGCGACTTGAGGAAGATCAAAAGAATGCTAATCTACAAAAAAAATTGTGCCCCCCTAATCTTTCCCTAATCTTTTACCAGTGTAAGTAGTTAATGTATATCTATCTATCTATCTATCTATCTATCTATCTATCTATCTCTCTCTCTCTCTCTCTCTCTCTCTCTCTCTCTCTATATATATATATATATATATATATAATTATTTTTACTTTAATTACTTAACTATATATATATATATATATATATATATATATATATATATATATATATATATAGTTAAGTAATTAAAATATTAGTAATCCGTATGGATAATCCCAAGGAGGATTAAATCCGGAGAGCTCAATGTTATGTCAGAGCGAATAATTTAATTTGAAGAAAAAAAGACCACTTTATTTGTAAATTGTTACAATTTATTTCACCAAAGATTTTCTTTTTCTCTGGATCATCAGACCTCACTTCCAAGGATGAAAAAATGAATTTAAACTTTCACTTTTGAAGGGCAGTATTAAGCTTATGTAAGGTGATATCGAGAGTGGTGAGAGATAGTGTGACAGACATGGTCGAAATTTGGATAATCCCATGTTTCTCACCACTCTCTAACAATTTTAACACAAACTAAGAAGCATCAAGGGATCTTCGAAAAACCCTTTATTAAATATTTTAAGAAGCTTCGATCCGAAGTTTATTTTATTAATACTTTAAGCAAGGGAAATACTTCCAATTTATCTTTTAATTCAGTAACTTATAAGCAAACGAAATTCTTGCTCTATCAGCGGACAAAAGAATTCACCGGTTGCCTTCCCTGCAGCGGGGTAAACACTTCCACCATCACTAAAAGGAACTCTCTACCAAGAAAATACTTACAGGCTCAAATACAAATGACCAATATTTACCTAATTCAAACCAAGTAAATGCTTATAGATTCAAATAAATTCGAGCAATATTTATCTATCCCTGATTCCAATATATACTTATAGAATCAAATAATAATAATAATAATAATAATAATATTGAAAAAGCTGTCAAAATACAATGACCTTGAAATAAAAATCTCAAAAATGTGGCACATGGGAACATCAACACTCCCTGTTGTAGATGGAGCCCTAGGATTGGTTGGAAAAGATTCCAGTAGACTAATTGAAGGGATTCCTGGAAGTCCATGCCTCAAAGAAATAAAAACAATTGTTCTGAAAAGTACAGGCCACACTTTACGAAGGGCTTTATCTATGTAATTTTTTTTTTAGTCAGTGGAAAGTATCATGATGCCATTTCTAACCTTAGGTCTTTGGCCGGGACCCGGAAAGAAACGTGTACACGCCAGAAATCAAAATAAAAGAAATAAAAATAATAATAATAATAATAATAATAATAATAAAGATCAACATTATAAGATTGTGCAGTATATTCACTGGAAGATGTCAGTATTACAGTTTGTCATATACCGAGAAATGGTATGAACATCACTCTGATCATCCTGGATACGGTGATAAACTACAACCGGCAGCAAGGATGAGGAGATTGGAGGTTTTGCGGTGTTGGAACCACCTCTAATTGTTGTTTCCAGGTTCACCCTGACCCGGGCTGGTAGCACCTGTTAGGACCTCATCTATGGGTAAATAGTGACCCCCAAACAAAAAGCAACAGTATATTTTTATAGTAAAATTACCAATAATATATTTTATGATCTATAAAATATATATTTAAAAACATTCCTTTACTCTGAAAGTATAAAATTATGTACAAAATATATTTAATTGAAGCCATAAAATTGTACATTATTTGGACTATTGTCCTCATCTTTGTCGCCATATTTATTTCAACGTATCGGCCGTTGTACACCCCGGCCTTCTTCAGGTGGTTGGATTGTCGAACCCTTTATTTCGCTCACTGGGGTAGACTGTTCTAGTTCCACGTGCCATGTTTAATGGATGTCAGTTATCAGTTATCTCATGTTAATTTCTGAAAGTTCTCCACTGCCTTAACCGGGTATTGAACTCACACTCTTTTCGGGGCCTGTCTCTGGATCTAACAAACGCCTTTATCCACTGTGCCATGTGTCCTTGATGAGATAAATGATTAAGTATTGCGAGTATATATTCCGTGTTAGTGTCCTTGTTTTTCTTGGCAAGGTTTTCAAAAGAAAAATAGAAACGCCTAAAGTCAAACTTATAATTTTGCATTTGAAAAAATATTAACATTTCTCAAAAACTGGAAAAATATAGTGATCATTTAATATCGATAATTGTAAATTATTCGGCCCTTACCTTACTAATAATAGAATAGCCGAATTATATATAAAAATTCAATCTCTCAGCTGCGTGTCATAGTCCAAGGGTGGGAGACTCGTACTAATGTCAAATCAGTCAGGTTTTGATCCCAGCTTGAAGTAGTTGTATGTTCAGTCACACTGATGAGCTGCGAAACAGTCTGACTGTAAATGTCTATATATATTAATTGTGTATTTGGGCAGCAATTCTTCTTTTATACAAATTTCACTAAAAACGACTGTCAAGGGAGTTCGGTTAAATTTTTTATTTAATTTTTCTTGTAATCATGTTCTCCTTTTCTGTACGTAAATTATGTAGAAAGTGTTCAAATGTTTTATATGGCAAAGCGCTTTCTGCTATACTTTTAGCCGTTATCAAGGATGATTTTATTTTTTTTTACTGTTAACTGAATGTATGGATTGTTTTATGTATGTACTTACAGTTATAGGAATGTTTTTCAAAACACCGTCAGCATATTGTGGCTGTGTTCATAGTTGATACATACATTAAACATTAATTTAAAACAGGGCTCAATACACAAGTAGAGCAATAAATATTTATTTTACACTGTTACATAAGAACATGTAAATAATTACTACAAAATTGTACATTTTGTTTCGACATTTAATAAACATTAACTGCCTGATGGGACGTTGTTTATTAAACGTCGACACAAAATGTACAATTTTATAGTAATTACTTACATTTATATTTTCATTTCTTATTTATATATATATATATATATATATATATATATATATATATTTCAAAAAGGTGTGGCTGATCTTGCACGAAACCTTCACCACTATAATCAAATCTCATGTGCTGTTGTCGGGCTGTCGGTTTCCTGGAAACTGATATGCTTGACCCTCATACGTCGAATCGACGGGAGAGTCGACTATATATATATATATATCAGCAAAAGTGTATTAAGCCTGCATGAAAATACACCAATCAGATCTTATTTTCTTGTCAAGTTCCTTGTGAGAAAATCACGATTAATGCAAACAGGTTGTGTATGAAATATACAGCAAAGCCATATCATTTTCAAGGAGCAAATTAAACCCGGAGAGTTTATGAAATATTTGAGTTTCCCATGCCTTCGTTTTTTGATAGGGACTCCAAGAAATGTGTGCGTACGTGCGCATCTCGTACCTTACTCTGTGTGTGTATTTCTCTCTGTGTGTGTGTGTGTGTGTGTGTGTGTGCTTTTAAGTGTGTAAATCAATTATTTATTCATACAACTACTCAGATAAATAGAATATAGTTATGAATGCCTGAAACTTTAGAAAGATCTGCTTGAGTTCATATAGATCTATAAAATATATACAAGCGCCATCATATTATTATCTTTGAATTGGATCACTAAGTAAATACAGTTAATTCGCAACAAATGCCACTTGAAATTGGTGTCAGTTAAACTTGGACACCCGACCCACAATCTCAAAGTACAGAACATCATAACCGTTTGTTAAATTCACCACAATTAGCGACAATTACAGCAATTACCGAAGACTTTTTATAGTGATGATATTTGTACCTTGAGAGCTCCATAGATTTTAGAAATAGGAAAATAATACTAAAAAGCAATTTTCTGTTTTGAAGGGAATAATATTTCCTGAGAAAACAAGAGCGAACGATATTATTATTTAATACCGAGGAAGAATAGATAAAATAAAAACTGGCGCCATTAGTACCACCTCTGCTCTTTGTCACAAGGAAACAGTATATACAGGGTGCGTCAGCTAATTAAGAACAAATTATCATATAAATAAATAAAAAAGGTATTCTATAGAAAAATCAGTCTATTTTGTTTATATGTACTATTATATATATTATATAAAGGGTGCGTCAGGTATTGAGGAAAAATTATAATATAAAAAAAAAAAACAAATATATTCAACAAAAAAAATCAGTATATTTTCAAGAAGCTGTTGAGAAAAAAATAAGTTTATTCAATAAAACTACACCTAGTCTTGATGACATCGTCCATTTGGTCTTTGAAATGACTGCATG